ATTACTAAGTGAAGGAAGCCAAACTGAGAAACTGACATACTGCAAGATTCCAGCTAGTTGACATTCAGGTAAAGGTAAAACAATGGAGACAAAAAAGACCATTGATTACAGGGGAGGGTGTTGAAGTGGGGAGAGATGAATAGCTATAGAACAAAGGAATTTTAGGAAAATACTTTGTGTGATACTATAATTATAGACGTATGTTCAAACTCCATTGTACCACACCAAGAAAGAATTAGAGCAGAGAGAAACTTTACTTAAAAATCTATGAACTTTGGGCCTTCCCTGGTGGTGCAGCGGGTTAAAGCACAGTACTAAGAAGCTAAAGCCACTTCTGCATGAGTTCCATCCCCGTCCCAGAGGTTACCCACATGGCACAGCAGACCTCTCCTGACCCGCCCACTGCTCCTCTCAGCAGTGTACTGTACTGTGTCAGTCAGCCTGTTCTGCTCCACACTCTGCTTCTGGTGAATCCTCTCACTGCCTCTGCACCTCTGGCCTGTACCCCAGTTCTGTATGCCTAAATAAATAAATCTTAAAAAAATAAATCTACGAACTTTGGTGACTGTGATGGGCCAATGCAGGCTCATTGGGTCAGTTGAGTGATGTTGGTAATGTGGGGTAATGCTCCCCATGGTAATGTTGGTACATGTAGGGGCAAAGGGTATATGGGAAATCTTTGTACCTTTCTCTCAGTTTTATTATAAACCTAAAGCTACTCTTAAAAATGCAGGATTTTTAAAAAAGGGCAGAAGGAACATCGCACATAGATGATGAGGGAGGAGAGTGAACAGAGATGTGGTTCCCAGCCCCAATAACCAGTCCCCTTGACTATATACAGGGAACGTAAGAATGCCTTGGGATGCAGCTTTTGTGGCTGTCGCGGTTGACCAAATGGAGGGAGGAGGAGATACTAAAGAAAAACACAGACACATGCTAGTCTCCTAACCACACCTGAGGGGAACCTCAGGCAAGTTACCGAGTGTAGTTGTATGAGCCCTTCTCCTGGAGCTCAGAGACACAAGGGGCAACATAGGAAACCAGCAGGACACACTGGTCACAGAATGTATAGTCCAGAGTGGCTATACAGGTTTTTGTTTGTTTATTTGTTTTTGTCAGAGAGCTCAGGTACCTCCCCAGACTCTGTTACTTGCTGGTTGAATGGAAAAATTTCTTAATTGGAGAGGTAAGTTTCTTTATTGGCAAAGTGGGCATAATATTAGTCTCGTGAGATAAAGATGTAAACAAGAAGCTTGTTTGTTATGAAAGTTATGAAGGTTGTTTCTTACTTGACTCACTTATACAGATTTTACTCTGTGGCAAGGGAGGCAGTTCACCGTCCCTGCTCTTGGTGCCCGGTGTTAATACACCTAGCAAGTCTTGCTGGTGGTCAATGTGAGACTGAGGTGCCATATTGCACGGTTTGGACCTAGCTGGGTAGAAGAGAGAGGCAGGAATGAATATCTGGTAGGATCTTACCATGTTACAAGCTGTGCTGGATAAGTCTTTACATACATTTTTCTTGCCTCAGTGGATACTTTTACGTTCACTATTTTAATTTTAACTAGACAACAGAGGCTTAGATTAAGCCACATTCTTTGTAAATCACAGAATCAGGATTAGAAAAGTGAACTCTTTTCCTCAGGCTACAGTGGGTCTGGATTTCTAGTAGTGTCTACTCATTTATTCTTTCTTCAGTCTTTGGAAAGAATACATGTTAAGGCCTGTGCAAATGTACTGGCTGGCCCTCAACTCCTGCTCTCCTCATTTCCTCCATTATCCCGAACTCCCACTTTTTAGATAAGCACCCAGCTGCCAAGAGTAAAAACCATTCAACCTTCCTTGCAGTCAGGTGTTGTTGGATGTCCAAGTCCTAGCTTGCTCCTTTCTTTTGCTTGGATATTGAATAAGACAGTTGGAACTTTGAACCAAGAAGGGGAGACCTGTGCTGAAGATGACAAGAACAGCAAGGCAGAAGGAGCCTGGGTCTAACACTGAGATTGTCATACTCTAAAATTGTTGTCATGCCAACCCTATATTGCTTATATGCTTTCTCTTTATATACAAGAGACAAATTCTCTTCTTTCATGTATAAACTACCCTTATTTTGGGTTTCCTTTTATATGCATCACAGTTTCTCTGTAACAGGAAGCCCCATGGCCCATAAATATCATTGCTAACACTACTCAATTAATACTTCCTTTCTTAAGGTTCATGTTAACTGTCAAAATCGTTTCTTATTTAACTGTTTGAAAGATCTCAATAATTGTTTTTAGACATAAAATTAATCATTCACAATGATTAATTGCAGCAGTTACTCTTGTAATAATAAACATTCATATATATACATACATATGCATATATCCCCAATGACCATTAGAATTTCAACATACAGAATAAATAGATTGTCTTTTTGAAGATGACTATTCAAATGTTAACAATAAGCATAACTGGGATTTTTTCTTTGCAAAATTAGACATAAAAGGAAACCCAAAAATAGACATCAAAGCAAGACACAAAAGTATTTTCTTTTTGAAAACTATTTGAAGACAATTGACAACAGAAGTGGGGAGGTTGGCATGAAAAATCTCTACAAAAGAAGGACATCTTAAGTTGGTCCTTGTTTGAGCATACAAGAAAAAGGTCACTATAGGCAGAGGGTTTTGTAAGTTAACAGGGCCTCAGAATGAGGTGATGGTGGCCATCAAGACCAATTTAATTCTGTGCTTACTAAGCAACTCTCTGATGGTTTTCTGATGAGAGAAAGGAAATTCACTTAAGTATCTTTGGTGCTTTATTAGAGCAGACAGCTGACCCCTCACTCTAATCTTAAGCAATTCTGCCATAACTAATTAAAAAAAAAATGGTTGCTCTTGTTTAGAACATTTATGAATAAAGTGTTAAAAGTCAGGGCCCTCCCTGGTGGCACAGCGGGTTAAAGCACTGCACTGAGAAGCTAAAGCCACTTCCGCATGAGTTCGATCCCCGCCTGCCCCGGAGGCGACCACATGGCGTGGCAGACCTCTCCTGACCCTCCCGCTGCTCCCCTCAGCAGTGTACTTCGTCGATCTGCCTGTTCTGCTCCCCACTCTGTCTCTGGTGAAGCCTCTCACATCCCTTGAGCCTCTGGCCTGTACCCCAGTTCTGTATGTACAAATAAAATAAAATCTTTTAAAAAAAAGTGTTAAAAATCAGTTAGCTATCCCACTAACACAAAAAACAAAGGACTCATTCCATTAGTTAAGTATTTTGATGACAAATTTCATGACTACTGTCGCTTTAATATACAAAGACACAAAATATACAGTGGAAAAGATGTGTTAAAGATGTAACCTGAGGGAAGATACCTCATACCGATGGTTTTTCATTGATCTTTACCAGGATGAGTGGTGCCCATACTCAACTGCACAGCTGTATCCTGTGATTTAAAAAACCATGATGTCCAGGCTGCAGGAATTAAGTCAAAATTTCTCAGTGAGGATCCAAAATTCAGTTTTTTGAAATTAATTTATTTTTAATTAGTGCCTCTCTAAGTGACTCCAAAGTTTAGCCAAATTTGAGTCCCACTAATCTGGATGGGGCTAATGTTTAAGATCACAGAAGGATTTGTTTATGTGGTGTGAAAAAAATTTGTTTTTGCTTTGTTTTACAATTTTAGAGTTGTCATGAAAATGAAAGAAGACATCCACACAAGAAGATCCATACAAGAAAGCAGAGGCAAAATGCAAAAAGATTCATATTCTTTTATTGTCAAGACAGGGTATAGCTAAAGACAGGATTTTCTTTTCTTTTTTTTAAAGATTTATTGATTTATGCATACAGAACTGGGTTTTGACCAGAGTTTCAGGGGCGGTGACAGGATTCACCAGAGACAGAGTGGGGAGCAGAACAGGCAGATTGAGGAAGTACACTGCTGAGGGGAGCAGCAGGAGGGTCAGAAGAGGTTGCCACGTGGGTCACCTGGGGGGTGGGGTGGGGATTGAACTAGCACTGAAGCCACTGCAGCTGGCCTGCAGTGCTGTGCTTTAGTGGGTCACCTGGGGGGTGGGGTGGGGTGGGGATTGAACTAGCACTGAAGCCACTGCAGCTGGCCTGCAGTGCTGTGCTTTAGTCCGTTGTGCCTCCGGGGAGAGCCCTAAAGATAGGTTTCAATACTAAAACTCCTCAAAGACTCAGATTGACTTGTAAAGATGCACAGTCAGATTCAAGGACTGGTTTGTGAAATACAAGTACTTTTAGGGAAAAAATGCTGCAAAATAGCAGATTCAAGGACTGGTTTGCGAAATACAAGTACTTTTAGGGAAAAAAATGCTGCAAAATAGCCATTACCAGTTTACGCGGTGTGTGTAACTTCCACAAGCTTATCACAAAGATCTGATAAAGTGTCAGGCAACAACACAGCAAATAACAGGATGCAGTGGTCTGAGGGGAGCCCAGGCTAATATTCAAGGCGTTAGCACAAGTCTGGAGGACCCTGCAGCTCTTGTTCTTTTGTGAAGTCGAGTCACAATGAAAGCAGGCTGGAGTCACTCAGACTTTGCTTCAACTCTGAGGAGAAAGACGCACGCACAGTACCCGACCCACTGCGCACGCGCCAGCCCGGGCTCCAGGGGGCGGAGCGAGCACGTGGGGCATTGTGGGAAAGCGCAGGGAGGCGGGGTCCGTGTGAGTGCTGTGGGCCGGACGAGGCGCCTGTGCGTGCACTAACGGTTAATTAAGGTGAGGTGCCTCTGTGACCCCTGTTGTAGCACCCGAAGCGGCGTTGAGGACGACGGCGTGAGGAAGAGGCGCGGTCTTGGGCCCCGAGAGAGGCGGAGAGGGCGCGGGCACAGTCGGGGCGGCGCGGCGGTGTCCAGGGTCGCGGCATCCGGGAGAGCGCAGGGCGCTCCAGCAGGAGGTCGCCCTCTGCCGACTGGCCTATCGGCCTGACCCGGGCCCCAGGTGGTGTGCGGTAGGCGAACCGCCGAGACGCTCTCCGGAGAAGCCAGCGGTGGGGCCGTCCCTTCTCGGCGTGGGTGTGCAGTGTGCGCCCTTATGTGGGGTGTGCAAGTGATGTCCCCAAGCGCTGGAAGTTTCTGGTTGCTTGCATTGGACCCCGCCTTGTCGCAGTTTAAGGAGCATCTGGGCCTGTGGAGCTTTGAGGTGATGTTTCAGGGTGCCCTACAGTGTCTTAGTGACTTGCTGCGCCATTGTTCTGTTTTTGAGTCCCCAGCAAAAAAAAGGTTTATTTATTTATGCATACAGAACTGGGCTACAGGCCAGAGTTGTAAAGGCAGTGAGAGGCTTCACCTGAGACAGTGGGGAGCAGTACAGGCAGACTGACAAGTACACTGCTGAGGGGAGCAGCGGGAAGGTCAGAAGAGGTCTGCCTCTCCAGAGGTCGAACTCATGCTGAAGTGGCTTTAGCTTCTTAATGCTGTGCTTTAGCCCACTGTGCCACCAAGGAGAGCCCTATTTTTCATTTTTAATGAGATATGCAAACCTGAGCCCGAAAAGGAGTAAGCGTTTAGGGTCTGAGGGTAGGTTAGCTGTCAAAAAACCTGCCTGTATCTGCAATCGGCACTTTTCTAATCTTTTCTTTCTACCGTTCTGCCCTGTCACTCCCAATTTTGAATTGCCTCTCACTTTTTTGGGGGGCCTTGATCCGTCAACTCGTTCTTTATTTTCTTTTATCTTGTTTCACTCCACCCCCCACCCCTCAGCCTATACTCGTGAGCAATATCAAGTTATTAAATACAAAATTATGCTTATTTCCATATAAGCTCATCTATTCAGCTCATTTTGTTTCCATATCTTTTTTGTCTTATTAAAAAACATTCAGTATTTATATGATTATATTGCTGCACACTCCCCTGTATGACTCTGTGGCATATAGCAGTCTAACCTGGCCTACTTTTTGAATTACTAATTAATTCTCTTCTGTGACTGTCTTTCTGCTGTCTAGATACTGCGGTTTTGTTTTCCCAAGTTGGCATCTGTTACAAGTGTTTTCATGCTTTCTTGGCATGAAGAGGAATCACAATGATCAAATATATGCAAATCGTATGGTTGTAGCTTCCATCTTTATGCTCATGATGCACCAATTTATATCGAGTCCTCGTAACTGCCTTCTAGATTATTTCTTTCTGGTGATGTCCCATATGCATTCAGATTCAGCATATCCTAAACTGAAACAACTTGCCCTTCCATTTGTCTTCCAATCCTGAATTTTTTTTTCCTCTTTGAATGGTGATTCATGACCGAAGTGGAATCCCAAATTTTACCAGACTGAAATGTGCCTAGTCTAATCACTTACCAGGTCCCTTTTATTTTCCCACCTTAATACTTTCACATAGTTTTCATAGTCAGACCTCATGCACTGGCATTTCAAGATCTGCCCCACATACACCTTTCAGCCTTATCCTTATGGTAACCTCATTCTGCCTCCCCTTCATGTTCATCAGTTGGCTGGCCTCTTGAAACTAGATTAAAGTTTCAGCACTTCTGGGTACTCTCTTCATCATCTTAACACCCTACCCTCTGTGTATGCCTAGTCTGTGTATACCTCAGTAATGGTGATTCTCAGTAAGGGGTTATTATGTCTTTCAGTGGACATCTGGCATTATTTGCAGACATTTTGGGTGTCATAATCCAAAAGGAGGGGGTAATGCTGACATTTAGTTGGCAGAGGCCAGGGATGTTGCCAATCATCCTTCAGTGCACAATATTGCTTCCTTACAGCAAAGAATTTTCTGGACCAAAATGTCAGACAGGTTGAGAGACCCTACCTAGTATACTTTGTTTCTCAGTACTTCCTTACTAGATATGGATACTGTCTTGTTTTTGCCTCCCTAAATTTTGATATAGTGCCTATCACTAGCAGAAGTTCAATAAATGTTGAAAGGTGTAAAGGAAGTAATTAGAACATATTTTTAAATTTGAGATGAGCAGTCAGTGTGTTACCTAACCACTGGCTAATTGCTAATTTCAGTAATCTGTACCTCCCCCCCTCCCCCAGCCTTTCACTCATACAGCATTTTAATAATGCCCTAACTTGCCTACTTTTCATTAGATTCTTGGGCAAACTTTGCTTCATTTAAAAATAATATACTGATAAATATCTTTTCTATCATGTTCTTGGATGTTACTGAAGTGGTTAAAAAAGGGCTCAAAAAATAACCAAATAATTCTGTTTTATTCTCAGAGATTGGTTGGTCAAAATCCAGCAGCACATAATGACTTCAACAAATAAAGCAGTTGAATTACAACTGCAAGTGAAACAAAATGCAGAAGAATTACAAGACTTTATGAGGGATTTAGAAAACTGGGAAAAAGATATTAAACAAAAGGATACAGAGCTAAGAAGACAGAATGGTGTTCCTGAGGAGGTAAATTTCTTACTTAAATTCTTTAGCATCCCACAAAGCTACTTATTTTAAAATAAGGCATGATCTTTTAAAATGTTTTGTGAGAATACAAAAATTGAAGTATTTGCTTCATTGTCAGTTTTTTAAAAATTTTGCTTTTGAAAGTCTTTATAATAATTGTATTAGCTGTAGTGAGACTTTTTTTTTTAGAGATTTATTTATTTATGCATACAGAACTGGGGTACAGGGCAGAGGTGCAGGGGCAGTGAGAGGATTCACCAGAGACAGAGTGGGAAGCAGAACAGGCAGTTCGATGAAGCATTCTGCTGCTGAGGGGAGCAGCGGCTGGTCAGGAGAGGCCTGTTGTGCCATGTGGTCACCTCCCGGGGCAGCAGGGATCACACTCATGCTGAAGTAGCTTTTGCTTCTTAGTGCTCTGCTTTAACCCGCTGCGCCACCAGGGAGGGCCTGTAGTGAGACTTTTTAAGACTCAGTGAATAATTACATTAAAAGAAAGACCATGTGAAATCCCTTAAAGGTTAATTAATAGTATCGTAAAGTACCTAGGTGTGTCTATATTATATTTTATATGTGATTATATATTTAATGATTTATTAACATGATATTGCCATAAAAAATAAACTTAGTGCCTGGGTTTAACCAAATGTTTTTCTTAAGACAGTGTATTTAAATATGACCTGATTTTGCTTTCTGCACTTAATGATGTAGAGGAAGTTCAGGTTGCCATTATTTTACTGCTGATTCATTGTACTAAGGCTGAAGGCTAGGTAGATTTTGAAAATTTGAATTTAGGATTGCAAATTAAACGTATAATTGAAATACAAAGTTAAATTTTCTTGTGACTGAATATTCAACTTTCACCATAGGGTGAATTACACTTTCTGAGTATAAATTGTCATAAGCAGAGAAGGTTATTTGACATTTTTAAGTACTTGAAAATTACTTGAAAATAATAATTTAGTGAGAATTTTAAGCATTGCTGGTCTTGCAAAAAAGTAATAGAGCTGTGCTCAAACTGTTTTCCTTTCTCCTAGAATTTACCTCCTATTCGAAATGGGAATTTTAGAAAAAAGAAGAAAGTCAAAGCTAAACAGTCTCCTAAAAAGGCCAAAGATGAAAACACAAAAAACAGGATAAAATCTTATGATTATGAAGCATGGGCAAAACTTGATGTGGTAAGCTAACTAATTATATTCTTCTTAGTATCTGAGTAAAATTTTCTTGGTGTTGGCTAAGAGTTGTGCATTAAATGAAAAATAATGGAGCATTTTTTTGTACATTTTTTTTTCATCTCAATTGTAATCCCCACGGGTTTCCCATCACCGAGTCACCCGTGTGCCATCACCACAGTCCTATGCACTCCCCTCCTCCTCCCAATTTTTGATCCCATTCCCCACTCCACCCCCACAAAATGTCTCTGGTATATGGCTGTTCATTATTCATATTATTTTCTAGCCTGGTCCATTATACTCCTGCTATGAGTGAAACCATCCAGATTTTTCTTTCTCTTTCTGGCTTATCTCACTAAGCATGATCTTTTCCAGCTTAATGGAGCATTTTTTATTTTTTTGAAAGATTTATTTATTTATTCATATAGAACTGGGGTACAGGCCAAAGATGTGGAGGGTGAGAGGATTCACCAGAGACAGAGTGGGGAGCAGAACAGGAAGATCGACGAAGTACACTGCTGAGGGAGCAGTGGACGGGTCAGGAGAGGTCTGCCACGCCATGTGGAGCTCCTCCGGGTCAGGCAGGAATCGAACTCATGTGGAAATGGCTTAAGCTTCTTAGTGCTGTGCTTTAATCCGCTGCGCCACCAGGGCGGGCCTAATGGAGCATTTTTGTGTGGAATAAAAATTTAATTGCATGGTTCTTCAATTAACTAGACTTTTCTCCTGCAGTTCTCTTTCACTGAATAGTAACTAAAATACCCTGAATTCTCTTTGTCCATATTTTTCCTCTCTTGTTGTTAAAATAGTAACTAGTTGTACTTAACTGTAGTATCGTATCAGAGCCAGGGAAAACAGAAAGCTAACATTGGTACAATGTGTGTATATTCTGTGCCACTTTATCATATGTAGATTTAGGTAACTATTATTGCATTAAGATACAGAAATGTTGATCACAGCAAAAATCCCCTCTTGTGCTACGTCTCTGACCCCTAAACAGCCAGAAGTCTGTGACAGTAATAGTCTCAGGAAAAAAAATGACTGCCAGTGTTTTTGAAGCTGCACAATCTGTTGAATTCTTAGGGTTGTGGCTATGTGGCAATAAAAGTAGGTCTATCTTGATCATCCTGGGAAGATGGATTTTACACTTGAGATCAGGGATAGCAAATGATGATTGAATGCTTCCTGTCACTTACATGTGACATACATATCAGAAGAACTAAGTACTGCTAGTA